GACTTAAAGTGCCGGTTCCTTCCCGGTGTTCAGCCACTGTGTGGATCCTCCATGGGGGCCTGCTGTGCACTGCTCTGAGGAGGTGTTCCACGGGGGCAAATGCCTACCTGGGAGCGTTCTCAGGATCCACATCGCTCAAGCTGGTCAGAGTCCCCCACAGGGATGCTCTACAGGGTAGGCATAAGCTGCCTAAGGGGCTGCCTCGACCATCCATTAATCACCTCGATTCCCAGTCAGGGAACCAATAAATGTAGCAGGATGAGCCACAAACAAAGCTCCTGAGGCACCGGATAAAGAAGGAAGAGGTTTTTTCTTCGTCCGGGAGCATCAGCAGACTCACGTCTTAAGAGCTGAGCTCTCTGAAAAAGAAATACTTGGCCTTTTTAAAGGCTTACAACTTTAAGGGGTCCACGTGAAAGGGTGGTGATAAATGGAGCATGCGTGGGAAACGTGACTGGGGGCTACATGCATCAGCTAACAGAACATAAAGTTTTACAATGCTTTTTTTCATAGTGTCTGGAATTTACAGACGACACAAGTAGTTTAGGTCAGGGGTTGATGTTATTACTACTACTTTTATTTTAACTCCTAGGGCCGAGTGGTGGTGCCAAGGTTGTCTGGCTCTTTATCTTACTTTTGTTTCTTTCTCTCTTTCCTCCTGTCTTGTGAACTAGGCAAGGTTGTGGGGAGGAGGGCAGCAGGAGTAGCAGTGGTCTCCTTCCTTAATGCCTGTCTTACTTTAATCTCTTAATCCTGTTATCTTCGTAAGTTGACGATGTACATCACCTCAGGACCACTGTGATAATTGTGTTAACTGTACAAATTGATTGTAAAACATGTGTTTGGACAATATGAAATCAGTGCACCTTAAAAAGAACAGAATAACAGCGATTTTTAGGGAACAAGGGAAGACAACCATAAGGTCTGACTGCCTGCAGGGTGAGGCAAAAAGAGCCATATTTTTCTTCTTGCAGACAGCCTATAAAGGGATGTGTAAGTAGGGAAGATATTACTAAATTCTTTTCCTAGCAAGGAATATTAATACCCTGGGAAAGGAATGCATTCCTGGGGGGAGGTCTATAAATGTCTGCTCTGGGAATGTCTGTCTTATGCGGTTGAGATAAGGACTGAGCTACACCTTGGTCTCCTACAGTACCCTCAGGCTTATTAGGGTGGAGAAAAACTCTGCCCTGGTAAATTTGTGGTCAGACCGATTCTTTGCTCTCGAACCCTGTTTTCTGTTGTTTAAGATGCTAAGCAAGACAATACGTGCACTGCTAAACATAGACCCTTATCAGTAATTCTGTTTGCCCTTTGCCTTCTGATCTTTGTTGGACGCTTATCAGTAGTTCTGTTTTTTGCCCTTTTAAGCATGTGATCTTTGTACCTACTCCCTGTGCTTACACCCCTTCCCCTTTTCAAACCCTTAATAAAAGTTTGCTGGTTTTGAGGCTCAGGTGGGCATCACAGTCCTACTGATATGTGATGTCATCCCTGGCAACCCAGCTGTAAAATTCCTCTCTTTGTACTCTTTCTCTTTATTTCTCAGCCGGCTGACACTTATGGAAAATAGAAAGAACATTCATTGAAATATTGGGGGTGAGTTCCCCCGATAGGGGACCGTGGGCACACCTTTCACCCTGCATGAGGCGATTGAGCCTGCAGACCCTGATGCCAGCCCACTCCACTGCAGACCACACCTGAGGACCAAAGGGCAGCAACTCTTCTGCAAGGAGAATCCTGCTGTCCATGGCCCTTCTCTCCACACCCAGCCAGTCATGGGCGGAGGACAGACAACAGCCTGCACACCTCTCCCCTGCAACTCTGGCCCCGTCCTTCAGCCCAGCTCACCGGCTCTGAACCGGCCTGTTCAGAAAAATGAGGGGCACATCCTGGACCTGAGGCCCTCCATAGGGAAGGTGGGGCTGAGAGTTCCGCTGGGACTGCAGAGGTAGCGTCGTGTTGCAGCAAATCTGGTTTATCCTCAGCTTACCCCAGAGAACGCACAGCGACTTCTGGATGCGCCTCTCACTCAAAGCCACCCGTAAGAGGCTGCCCAAGTTGGAGGTCCAGCTCCCAGTTCTGCTGAAAGAGAACCCCTGGACTGAATCTGGGCTCAACAGCCCTGCAGCCCAGGCCTGGCCTGAGGGTCTTGCAGGCCCTGCAGTTTTCAGCTGTGCTTGCCTCGGCCAGGCCCTGGCGTCACCATACCATCTAGGGAGCTATAGGCCTGAGGTGGATGGGAACAGGGCCCAATGCTGGGCAAGAGGGCGGAGGGCTAGGGGCCAGGATCGGGCCCTCCAGGCAGTGGTTGGGAGGGCACAGGGCACAGGGTGGGTGTGGGGGATGCCAAGGGTGCTTCTGACCAGCCAGCAGGACTCATAGGGCGCAAGTCTTGAGCCACAGATCTCAGGACCAGTGAGGCCTGGGTCACTCTCCTGGGGGTATGTGCAGGCCGCTGGAGGGGTCTGAGCAGATGGGCCTTCCAGGAAGGACAGGTTGAGGGGTGTCCTTCCCTTGGCTGCTGGCAGGCAGAGAGCAGGCTCCAAGGGTAGGGGCAGAAAGCAGAGTTTACAGGGCAGTCAAGCGGGGGTTGGACTGGCCGCAGTGCCAGGTCTGATGGGGACAATGCACTTGGCTGTCCTCCAGAACAAACCAGGACCTTGCCTCCTGCTGTTCCTGGCCACTCTTGCCTCCGACCTGTCTACCTCTCCGGGCCCAAAGCCCCAGATGATGCAAAGGCCCTACAGTCACCAATTCCATACTCCTGGCCACAGAAGGTCCTCAGGGCAGTAGTTCTAGACTTTCCTACCATGACCCACAGAACAAAGTAGCTTTTACATGGAGGCCCAGTGTGTGCAGGTGCACACACACATCTGTAACTGATCCTAAGGAAGGAGACCATTACTACTCCTGCTGCCCTCCTCCCCCGACCTTGCCTAGTTCACAAGACAGGAGGAAAGAGAGAAAGAAACAAAAGTAAGATAAATAGCCAGACAACCTTGACACCACCACCCGGCCCTAGGAGTTAAAAAAAGTAATAATAATAACATCAACCCCAACCTAAACTACTTGTGTTATCTGTAAATTCCAGACACTGTATGAAAAAAAGCATTGTAAAGCTTTTTGTTCTGTTAGCTGATGCAGGTAGCCCCCAGTCACGTTTCCCTCGCTTGCTTGATTTATCACGACCCTTTCGCGTGGACCCCTTAAAGTTATAAGCCTTTAAAAAGGCCAAGAATGTCTTTTTCGGGGAGCTCAACTCTTTAGACGTGAGTCTGCCGATGCTCCCGGACAAACAAAAAACTGACATTTATCAGTTCCCCAAATTAAGCATAAGAAATTATAAAAGTATTATTTGGGAACTGATACATGTCCACATTAAAATGAAATCTTTGCAATTTATGTTCCTCTGCCGTGGCTCCAGCCGGTCCCTCCGTTCGGGGTCCCTGACTTCCTGCAACAGTCCCTGTTTCTCCTGTTCTTAGCCTCATGGCAGCTAGCCCAGAATCCTGGTCTGTGCTGGTCCAGAGAGAAAGGCTTCCATTTATTAAAACTCATCCACACCAACCCAGGGGGGACAGAGTGGGTGGGGGAGACAAAGGTGGTGTCACCATAGCCCCTGACGTGGACGTGGGGGAGCGCAGTGGGGCGGTGGGTCTGACCCAAGCCTGGGTGAGCGGGGCAAGTGTAGAGGCCGTGGAGGTGCTGGAGCAGGCGTGGCCTGGGAAGGGCGTGGTGGGGATGGCAATGGGGCAGGGAGTTAGCAGGCCTGTTAGGGGCAGAGTCTGGGATAAGTAGGGGCATGACGGACGAGCTGCAGGTGACTACTGAGTGGGGTCGTGGGAGGAGGGCCTGGCACAGGCCGGGTGGGGACCCAAGGGTGGGACAGGAGCATGACCGTGGCATGTCCGGAGCCTGGGCACAAGCGGGGAGGGTTAGTGGGCATGATGGGTCTGAGCTGGGGGAGGCAGAGTGTGGGTTGTGGGCATGCACAAGGCGTGGCGTGGGGGTGAGTCAGGAGGAGGTGGGGCTGGGGTGGGACTGGGGACTGATCAAGAGTGAGGTCCGGGCAGGGAGGGGTGGGGCCTGAGCGAGGGCAGGGCCAGGGTGGGGCACATGAATGGGCTGGTTGTGGGGGGTCAGGAGGAGGCAGGGTGTAGGTGGGGCGGGAGCATGAGTGGTAGCACGGCAGGGGCGGGGTCATGAACCTGGCATGGGTGGGACACCGACCCTGTCGTGGCAGGCCTTAGCTTGGGGCGGGGTCAGGGCAGGAGCCCCTGGCTGCTCTAGATGACTGGGTACCTGGTGTCTATGAGGGTGTCCAAGTTGCTGGGGAGGTGCTGCAGTCCCTGAGCAAGAAAAGGATGCTGGGGAACAAATCCTCCACCTCTGTGGAGGCAGCGGCCTGTCAGGGCAGTTGGACTAGGCTCCCCAGGTCGCCCCACTGACAAGGCGACGCTGACCTGCCGTCTTCCTCAGTGGGTGGCACTCATCTTCCAGCAGAGCTGGGATGGGACTTTCTGGTTCTTTCTGGTCCCTGGCTGTCAGCACCACCATGGAGCTCAGGGAATCACCCGGATCTGGGAGTGGAGCCAGAGGTGGTGGCCTCAGCCTGTGCACCAGCCCCCTGTCCCCACAGTCCCTGGGCACCCCCAGGCCTGAGGGTACTTCTTGTGTTTGGCCAATTCCCATCCCCTCTGCCTAGAGCCTTGTGTGGTCTCCGTTCTCCCCATTCTCATCACCAGCCCCCAGCCCTGCCTCCCAGCACCTGCTTTGCACCCCTAAGGCCTGGTCCCCAGCCCCACCCCCACAACCACCTTGTGTGACCCCGGCTTGGTGGCCATGGCTTTTGTCAGCATGGGCTTTGCACCCCTGGTGGCCTGCTGAGGACAACACTGAGGACCTTTAGGGACTGTGCCCTCCTTCCAGGGAGGCCCATCTGCAGAGCCAGGGGCCTGCTTGATGGACTCAGTGTGCAGGTGGGCAGAGGGACTCACTGTAGGTGATGGGGTTGGGAAGGCAACATGGGCCACGATGGAGATTTTGACCATGGAGCTGGGCACTCCGTGGTCCGTAAGGCCCCAGACTATGATCTGAAAGCAGAGTGGGGGACAACTGATCCCACCCCACCCCACTCCCACCCGGCCCACTCAGCGATGGGCCTCCCCCTCCCACTGGCTCACCTGGGACACCTGGGGTGCAGAGCACAGATTCATACTGAAGGACCTGGCAGGAGAGAGTGACCACGGCCACCTCCACCGGCCCATCCTCAGCAGCTCCCGTGCCTGACTGTTGTCCCTGTTTCCCACTTGTCACAGGCCTCCTAGGTAACCTCCAGGAAGGGCTGCAGCAGGGCCACAGCACCACTGTTCACCAGCAGGTCTATGGGGCCCACGCTGACCAGCACCTGCTCAGCGGTCTCCCAGTGACCCAGATCCACGCACATGGGATCTAACCCGCAACGCTGTGGGATGCTGGGCAGTGGCCTGGGGGGTGGCCTGCCAGGTGGGTGATGCATCCCTGAGGGTGGTGGGTGCAGGCACAGGCCACACCAAGCTGCATGCCTCATCTCCTTGGGGAGGCCAACCAGGTCAGTGCTGGTGCGGCTCACAGCCCCCACTCTAGCTCCCAAGGTATGCAAGGCCTTTGCAGGGTTCCACCCTGTCCCTGGCAGTGTTGGGGACTCGGTGGGTAAATGGCCCTGCATGTGTGGTCAAGGCTGGGGTCAGGGAAGCAGGCAGGAGTGGGAGCTGCGGCCTCACTGTGACCAGTAAGGGGCTGGAGGCCCAACAGTGGGCAGAGCCCGAATCTGACACCCAGCTGACCAGTAGCAGGACTAGGGAGGCCCCCGAGGGCAGCCCCTCCCACTGGACCCAGGGAGGAGGCCTGACTGTGCACTCTGGGTCTGGGGGTTGGCCTGGGGAAAAAAAAAGCTCACTCCTCTCTTGGGGGTCTTATGTTGACCACGGAGGGGCTGGTGTCCTGTCCCAGTGGGTGTCCTGTGCCAGCCAGGGTGGAGAGCAGCTCAGGGCCAGGGCCCAGGGCCTGCAGTGAGGGGGTGGGTTCAGCTGCTGGTGGGAGCCTGACCAGTGGGACTCAGGGCCTGCACCAGGCCTCTGTGAATCTTGCAGTCCGGCCACCTTGCTCTCCCAGCCAGCACCTCCTGCACCTCCACCTCTCCTGCTCACACCCACCTTCCCCTGCCCCAGTCACCAGGGCCAGAAGGCTGCTGAACTTCAGCTGCGTGGTGCTGACTCCCAGCCTGGTCCTGCAGTGAAGACAGCATGTGCAGGTTTATAGGTCTAGGATGGCAAGTGGGGCCAGGTGACCTGGAAGGGGCACCGGGAGGTGAGCAGGGCAGAACCATTCCCCTCAAGAGGTAGCCCTTCTCACCCACTCCCTAGGCCTGCCAGCCAGAAGCTCCATCCTGGGTTCTGGAAAAGAAAGAAAAATTAGATTGCGTGTGTGCATGTATGCGTGCAGTACTGTGGCAGGCGGAGGGAGAGGGACAGGGCAGTAGAATTTTGGTGTCTTTCCTTTCTTTTTTTTTTTTTGGTCTGAACAGAAATATTACCCTGTAACAGCTTCTACTGGAAGGGGAAATCTAGCTTCCCCATCAGCTGGGGATAGGGCAGTGGATGACATGGGGAGGAGGCATGGACTGTGCCTCTGGCCCTGCGTAGCCACACTGAGGTTTAACTCTTGCAAAATGGAGCCTGGCCAGGTATCAGAGGAACCCACCCCCAATATTTCAATGTAAGTTCTATTTTCTTTTTTTTTTTT